ACTGTTGGTTTCAAAAATCGAAGCTGGCTGAGCACAGGGCAGAAACGGGACACGAGATTGAATGGTCTCAAACTTATCGTTTTGCTGATTATGGCACGTCTGCAGCTAAACGTAAATTTAGAGAAGCCATCAAAATAAACCGAATAGGAAATACATTGAATGTAAGGAATACCGGCAAGAAGATAAGTAAAAATGACCTGTGCTTAATTAAGAGATTCAAGGAAAGATAGGGTGTTGAGCCGCCTGCAATACGGAGGCGACGCAACTAGTCTTTTCTTGTCTTGGTTCTAATCATAGTCACTTCTCTGTACTTTTAGCTCACCATTTCTCTCTCGCATTGAGACCAAAAACATAAATTAGACTGAGATGTATTCACCCAATTTCGTTTAAGGTGATGAAGGACTGCTTGAAGAATATGGACCAAAGAATATGATATGGCAAAAGGCCTGGCCTTCCTTGGAAATCACATTTGCCCCGTGACCTAAAGGGACTCATGGCAATGTGGCCGAGTGGTTAACGTGTCAAGCTCCCATTCTGCATTGTCAGAGTTCGACTCCCGCTGGGGGTGTTAATAAGACCGATGCGAGGTTGAGACTGCAGTCCATTCTGGATGAGAACAACATTTGGGCAGGCAAGGCTATGTGAAATTCAATGGAAACGTCAGCTCTATTCATATGATTGTGGGTAAATTCGTCTCGCAGTCCTTCAGCGCCTTAAATGAAATTGGGTGAATACATCTCATATTACTGATTTACTGGTAGTCTCGAGACAATACTAAAATGCAAAAAATAGACTTATCAGCAAAACCAGATGTGTGTCCGACCTCGCGCAATAGGAGTGATGGTTATAACGTGCATTTAGAAAGGAGGTCATCAAACCTTGATGGCCGAGAACAGACCTTAACTTTGCTGTCATAATTACTTTGAGCCATCATTACTGGTTTCTTGCAAAAGCAAACACAAACAGATACATATACATACAGATACAGCAACACTCACAGGCTTCGAGGCTGAAATATGACCGTAACTAACCAAATCACTTTATACCTCTTCAAAAAGACCAATTATAGAGTATATGTACATCTTTTTATGGATTTGTCGGTGTTTTTTCTTGACTCGTTAACTTGAATTTGGTTGTGACGATGATGATGTTTATCATATGACGAACGAAAGCATAGAACATTTTCACCAGAATCGCAGGAGATTACCTCGATAACAGCGTCAGCATGAATCTTCCGGCAAAGCTAATCGACAGCCGGTCAAGAGGAATCCGCCATCGTCTTCTGGTGGAATCGGCCTGCGAATCTCTTCACCAAACATTCCGCTCGGAATGGAGGTAAGCTCAACAATCGTAGGCCTACACAAATAATTGTGGGTAAATTCAACTGTCAGTCCTTCATCAGCTTACGCGACTTAGAATGATTACAACTCTTATCCACGATCGATCGATAGTATCAAAACTCGCTATAAATATGAGTAGGCTATTCGAATTCAGTGCGAGATTACTTATTTGCCTGATCAAAAACCTCACTTTATGAGTAGCTTGGCTTGCCTTGAAAGCCAACTCTGGTCCATAACCTACTGGAAATTGTGGCAGTGTGACGTTGTGGTAGAATGTTGACAGTATAAACCACACTACGCAGGCGAGGTTGAAGCGAGAAAATGCAGCTATCAATCCTTCTTTACCTTAGGTGACTTAAGATGACAAGAACTCCTATAGTGTATCTACCGATAGTCTCGAAGCCTACTTGCTATGAAAAATAGCTCGCCAAATATAAACATTAACGTGGGTTTTCGTCCACTTATTTTATTGGGTTCCTGAGTTTAGTGCTTCTCCTTGGGTGCTTATAAAATATTTGGTCATAATTACCACTACTTCTGTTATAGCTTTGACCAGTTTATCATCATCTTCGCCCTCCTTCACTCCTTTTCTTTGGCAATAACATATGCGTAGAGAAAAGTTTTCCTATTTGAAAACAGCTACTCTGGGCCGCATCATAATGAAATATATCTGTAGATACGAATAGAATCTGGGTTTCGATGAATCTCCTTGGATAACATTGTTGGAGGAACTTACATTTCGTATAAAAGTGCATGAAGAAGGTATTGATAGGTCGAACGGACGACCGCTAAGCCCGTTTTCACCCGAAACGAGGGAGGTCTCGTGAACTGCATCAAGCTGAACGTCGTATAAAAGACAAACGGCTGCATACTACGGGATTCATCCGTCCTCTTCTGGTAAGATATACCTACGAATCTCTTCTTCATGCACTTTTATACGAAATGAATGTCCTCCAACAGAAAAATATCTGCTCTTTCCTTTTTTGAGTTATCAGATGTTTGGTTTTTACTAGGAATGTATCCAAAATTATTATTCTTCATCCCTAGGAGCAGATTACCTCGTAGAGCCCAATTGTCTTCAAGGCTGGAGGACCAGATACACAAATTTACTATAAAGAACGATTCGGTAAATGAATCGCACTAAGACCATCGAAGCTATCGTTTAAAATGTTAAGACTTCTGTATCTCACTTCATAATAGGAAAATTGGTCAAATCTTGCAGCTTTCGATAGATGCAGACGCATTCCCTCAAATTATTGCTCTTTCATCCCCCCAAATTGTCAGAATTTGTGATACTTTCAGCGTACTTGATAGCAGCAGCAAACAAGCGGTTTGTATGTCAAGATAGTGCCGTACTCGTAAAAAGCTGATCGAATCTATTCAGTCTTATAATTATCAAGATAGATTAACTACCGGGCGTATATACAACTGCGATATGATGGCCAAGGTGATGCTTTATATGCTTTGTCGCCTTTTCCCACGATACTGGAAAAATGTCTGGGAATGTACTAAATCAACCGTCATGTATTTGAACCTATCCTGACCACTATGGCGTGCTGCACAAGAATAGGTATGTTGTTCAAGTTCCCCCTGACACCCAGATCAAGTTGTTATTCTTTCCATCTTTTATGGCCGTGCTTGTATCAGTTCCTGATTATTTGCATATCAGCCAGAAGTGCAGGCCCAATAAAATGAGGGTTCCCGTTCGGCCTGCCCTGAGGTAAGGACCTGAGGTAGGATGACATGGAAAGCTGTTCACGTCTGTAGCAAGCACATCGCATTCCAGAGCAATATCAATCCATCAAATGCCAAATTTATCAACCCACATGATATGAGCGTGCATACAAAGCAAGGTTATATCATGTCATGGCTCCATAATGTCAAATATCGATCGACTATCGCCTCTCCATCAATGGGCCTATTGGGAAGAAGATACCTGTATGCTTGAGTCGTCATTGCAAAAGCAGGAAGTAATAGAACAATTGGCAAGAGCCTCACCGAACCGGAGAAGGGTTGGTATCAAGGCTCTAGCCTATAGTTTGATAACACATATGTCCTCCTGGCTCGTTGACCATCTAGTACGAGGTACAGTATTTATGACCATCTAGAACGAGGTACAGTATTTATGGATAGGGTGAAACTCAGGCTTGAAAGGTGAAAAAAGGGGATCACAAAGTCTGCTAATACTCAATCCTGTTAGATTGAGCAATAAGAAAGAACAAACAAGAGCAGACCTAAACGTCTCCCAGCAAATCCACTTAAGCGACAGGAATGTGCAGAGACACACACACACACACGCACACACATACATTATACATACACATACACACCACGCATACACATACACACGCATAGGCAAAGAAGCGCAGAGGCAGGCGAGATATTTCAGCAGTATTGAGCACAGGTGACCCTTAGCATCTCCTTCCTCCAACTAGAGGCCGTATTGCTCGAGTGTATAAACCAGTCCCTACGAGATATTCAGTAATGGCAAGGCTGTTAGGCATCAAAATCAATAACCCGTTGCCCTGATACCGGTTCAGCCCAAGCCTCCTGTCCTGTCGTTTGCCCACAAAGGGGAAGAGAAGTTGCAGCCAGCTGACCAATCTCAGCGAAGCATCAGTTCGTCTGCCACTGGGCTGCAGAGTGTATCTAATCGATGACCGGGTCTGGGAGGCATAAGCCGGGATTATACGCTTGCCACGACTGACAAAGGATATCTGCAAATCCGCTTTCGGGTATCTCAATCGAGGAGAAAGTAGACGCTCACTTGATGGCCAGCCTTAATTGAAGCAGCAACTTCGTCCAGAAGAGTGTTTATCTTTAAATTAACTGCCTATTATGAAGGCGTGATAGACGCAATCAAAATCAACCTCTAAAATCTCCACAAGGTTTAGATCGTAGGAAGTTTAGACTCTGAGATTAGCTGAAGGGAATTCCTGCTACATGTGCTAGCGGCCGGACTAGATCTCGTTGACAAGGGTGGCCATGTTCACTTACTTGCAAAGACGCTTTTCATCCGGTGACCTTCAAGGTGAACTAGCCGACAAGCGGGAGCAGGAGGGTTTCCCAGGCTTCCTCAACTTCACACAGACTCTGAAGAGCGCCACAGTCGGCGCCGCCTCTTCGGGAGCTCCAGTCGCGAGGCCGCAGGCGACGGGCGTCAACACACAGGCCTTCGGGCCCGGACAAGTTCCAGCCAACAGATCCGGTTGTCAGGCCGCAGGTACATACAACCAGCACCATCGATATACCGGAGGCAGCTCTGCCACTGAAAAGGACGCAGCGGCGGCTGCTGCCGGAGGTGGTTTTGGATTCTCTTCGGTGGGTGGGGTTGCAGGAAATACGGGCTCTTCGGCAGCCGGAGCAATCGCAAGCTCAGGTACAATGTTTAAAGGCCGTGGTGCGTATCCGAGCGCTCCCAGCTCACCTACTAGAACCTTGCATCCAGCAATGCAGTCAATGGACTTGTCTAGGGACGGTGCAGGAGCTACCCCGGCCGGAATAGGCATGGCTGACAAGGCGGGAGGGAACCCTACTTCTGGCGGTAGAGCAGCCTCATTCATGAGTATGGGGCCAATGGGCAGCATCACTGGCTCCATCTCCAGCACTATCACTAGGGGCATTTTCAGCGCGGCCTCTACTGCCCAAGGGATGGCTACTGGGAAGTCATACAACAAAGACAAGTGCAAGATACTTTTAGTGATTGATGAACCGCATACCGATTGGTGAGTGTCAGTTATATTGGAACTTGCGTGAGGCATGCTGAAACTTTTAGGAATACAACATTGATAATAATTATATGATAGCATAGTTGCCATAGGTCGAAAGTGGAGTTTTTATGACAGTAATATACCTATTTTTCGTGTTTGAGTAGACTTTCAAGACTACCAGTAAATCGTTAATACGAGATGTATTCACCCCATTTCGTTAAAGGTGATGAAGGAATGGTAGTAGAATTTTCCCACAATGATATGGGTAGAGGTGACGTTTTCATTGAATTTCACAGGGCCTTGCTTTCCCAAAAGTTATTCTCATCCAGGGTGGACTGCAATTTCGACCTCGCATCGGTCTTATCAACACCCTCAGCGCGAGTCGAAACCCGACAGTGCAGAGTGTGAGCTTGACACGTTAAACACTCGACCACATTGCCACGAGAGCCCTTGTGTCACAGGACATATGTGAATTTCAAGGAGACAATAGGGTGAAAACATCTCATATTACTGATTTACTGGTAGTCTCGAAACTCTACTTAAACACGAAAAATAAGTAACGTAGTTGATTGTTATAGCAAATATACGTTTGCTTCATCGACAATCCCACC